CATCCTGTCTGTACTCATTTTTTTTTCCAGCTAAGAAAGTTCTCCAAGGGAAATGAGTCAAAAGCCTCTTTATGACGCCAGTGATCAGCTGACTGTCCGGGAGGGGGGGGGGCACCGCCCACCAGCTCGAGGATCTGCAACCCTCTGCTTCTCATCTCTTACTTAAATCGTGTTTATTTCGCTGCTTGATCCGTATGAATGATGCTATGGGAGTCGCACATTTGAGTCACCATGTAGATGTATATTCACACATATCCTGTATACATACGGGTGCATACACTAGATATCGTTTCTTTGGCCTTCCTGTTTAGCTATTTTAGTAGAACTTAATACAGGCATGATTATACATTTATATGTTCTATGGTTTTTTTCAATCCAGGAATCACTTTCATTTCCTGACACTACTGAAAGTAAACTCGCCTTTCAGCTGCTGCGGTTTTCACTTTCCATATAACCACATGGTATCAGCAGTGTGCTTGCGATGCTGTCTAAATGTATCCCTTGAGAAAGGTCTGCCATTGGCCCATTGCTTAGCACTGGGGCTACCTGCAACACATCAGTCGAGCGAACCGTTCGGTCCAAAGATATCACGTACTTTCTGTCCCTCTTCGTTGAATGCGAGTACTGAATGTGTTTATTGAGTTCAGTGCAGTACGCACTTGATAGTGCATCTCATTTGACTTTTAAACAGAATGACCTCCTTTTTTAGATGCACATTGCTCATAAATTAATTTGTAGAGACACAAGTCAGTAGTCACTTATTCTGTCGTGCAAAGTATATCACAATGACGACGTCATATCCTGACCCAGATTACAATGCTGATAAGCTCGAAAAATCACAGAATCTTTTTTTGCGGACAGAGGATAGTTATTAAAGCCACCTTTTATTACTTTATTCTTCCAGTTAACAAGCTGTGCGATGATTCTTGGATGAGAGAACGTGTTTTGTTGCTTACAGTGGATGATGGTTTAAAATTTAAAGCAATTTATTGGAGGCCACACTGGATTTTTTGCAATAAAAGCACTGGTATGTTTCTTTTATTTAGTTTTATCGTTTATTTTCCTAAATGAAGAACAGAAGAGATGTGAATGTGGCCGTGTTAAAATTGTCCACAATTGCTACTCTTTCCTTTCCCACTTCCTGCTTATCTGTATCGTTTCATAGTCATAATTTGACTTTGAGAGTGAAAAAAACGTTATGTATTTTGTTCTCAGATCAGCTCGGCTGGGGGTGGGGGCGGAGAGAGCTTGTTTTGCAAACGACGATGCGAACCAGACAGGCTAAAATTTATGTGCTAATGGAGAGATACACGACGCCACTGAGAAACTAGTACTAAACATTATAAAAGATACTGATATGATGTCAGTGCAAAAGTGAGACAAAACTGAACATTAGCATTTAATCACATGACACAAAAATAAACCAATGGCCTGACTTTTGCATGATAATTCGAAATCAACACATTTGTGGAGCTGTTTAACTTCTGCAACCTTTTATTTGGAAGCAAACCAGTTTGAAATAGAGAGACAAAAAAAACAACTTGATTCAGGGATTCTGTCTAATATGTGCTGCATTTATATAGCAAGTACCAAACTGGGCCTTTGGGAGAGCTTAACTTTAAACCTCACACATAGTCCAGCTAGGTTTAAAGAGATTCTGGATTCAGTATCAGAACTTCCATCAAACCAGCTTTCCTGAATGTGCTCTTGTACTTCCTCATGGCAGTGGACGCCTCGTCAGACTTTCTGAGACGATATTACTGAGATTTGAGAATATTTATTGTTGAGAACTTACATAAAGGATGTTTAATATTTTGTTTTAAATTGATGCATGCGGTTTGTACTGTGTTTGTTGAACTAAAGGGATCAGATACACCTTAAACTCATGTAAAATATCTAGTATTTAGTGCAGATTGTGTAAATACTACAGCACACTGTAGTGAAAATGATACTTTTTCCGTGTTTGATTACTTTGTATGTATATAATTATTGTACTGATGCTTTACATGTATTTAATGAGGATTGGTGAACTTTATATGAAAATATTTTTAATCTACACTGAAAATGATGTCAAATTAATATACAGAAGATATCGGAGAAAATGGAAGCAAAAATATAGTTAGTGGATAGATTTTGATTTTAATGGTTATTTCTGGGACCAAAACATTGCGTCCGGCATTGCTTCTGAGACGGACACTGTCACCGTCCCCACGTTTTCCCATTATCCTTTAGAAACTGAGTAACTTGCAAAAAATATGTACATTTTGTTTAACGCATCATTTAAAAGCCGGCAATCTTTGGCCGCTGCGTCTGTGTGCAGGCGTCTGTGCATTTTAATCTCAGCTCCACACTGATGTAACTGCAGAAGAGGATGTTTACAGTACAGCGTCCGGCCCTGAACTCCAGTACTAACCCACCGTTCCTTATCCTGCCTCCCCAATAGCTGTAAAAACACAACAACGTGATTTTATGTGAAGCACACAGATATTCAAAGAACCGGACATGAATAATTGAGTTTCACTTCAGGTCACATAGCAACCACGCAAAATATATGCACAAACTGCAGTTGGTTGCTCTATAATTGTTATTAGCTTTAGGATGATTGATATTATTATTGCCCATGTGACTAATAAGAATATTCCTGCACTATCCCTCCAATCGGCAACATAATGCATTCTTGTGCAATAAATAGACTGTATAGCTTGTAACATAATTCCACGAGCGGCCATTCAGACACCATGTTTACTACGACCTGCGGTTTACGCTTAGAGCAGAGACGCACTCAGACTATAGGCTCTGAACACTACTGAGGATTCACAGTAAGAAATGTAACAGTATTCTGCATTAATAGTTTTTGTGCTTTTGTCTTCTGTAATTCTGTGAGTTTGATCTGTATCACTTTAGAATGATGGCTGGTTACTTATTTATTTGTTCAGTTTAATTTGCCACTTGTATGTCTTTTAGTTTTTAAGAAATATCAGTGCCAGTATTGATATAATAAACATAATGGTGTTTTCATAAATAAAATTGTATTTATCAATTACAAGAATGGTGAGATTTATTTCGGTCATTTCATAAGATGTAAGCTACAGACATCCTTGTTATATACAAATACATCCAGGATTCATTGTGGTACTCGAGGTTCACCGTTACTTCATTGTCATAAACTACACACATCCTTATAATATGCATACTCATTCAGGATACAATATGATATTATTTCGTATGACACATAAAATGAATGTATATACTAAATGTGAATTCTACGTGGATGTGTAATACATGTGTAATAACAGTAATGGTAACTTGTAAGTCATGGGCCTTAACGTCTCTCTGAGCTCTTCCGCTGCTCTTGTCTTGCATGTAGGTTAATATTTTCACACCATGCGCACATCCTGAAACGGTTCTGACACTTAGAGAAGGTGCACATAAACTCATTGCATCATTACTTCTACAGCAGAGTGAGGATATAGCAGACGGTGTACAGCACTTGTTTCTGACCCTTTATACAGCGATTTCGTGTTGGATAGGGAGGTTACTCACCCAACGCTCCTGCATGTGATTTTTACCATGAATCCAGGAGGGAAATTGAAGTTCCCTGTTGGACTCACGCTCCTGTTTATCTCAGCGACACACGGTAAGAAACAGATTGTTCATTCTGTATTAGTGCAGCTTCTAACCCTGCTGAGCCACTGCAGTCAGTGGAACAGGAACCATACTGCACCCCTGGATAAAACATTGATAGAAGTTAGTGAACCCCAGAAACTGCTGCAGATCCTTCCGTGTGCAGGTCTGCGGCCACTGTCTGACTGCCTATAAACCCTGAAAAGGAGATGGTGCATCTGTAGAACTCACGTTTCTCCACCTTGACGTACAGAATATTTACTGAAAGTCTCTGGAGAACCTTGCAGACGTGCTGCACATGGTCCTGTTCATTCTGTGGAAAGATTAAGATGTTGTCAAGGTAAAGAAATACAAACCGATTAAGCATATCACAAAGGACCTCGTTGACTAATTTTTGAAACGCGGCTGGAGCGTTGGTAAGGCCAAATGGCATTACAAGGTACTCATAATGACCAGTGGGTGCGTTGCATGCAGTCTTCCATTCATCACCCTCCTGGATCCTGATCAGGTGATTTTAGGCGTTCCTTAGGTCCAGCTTCATGAAGACCCTGAATACTCCCTGTAGGTCCCGATATTCAGCAGGTACTCAGGAGAGATCAGGGGTCTCATTTATAAAACGTTGTGTAGAACTCATACTAAAAGTGTATGTGCGCTCAGACGACGAAAATGACGTACGCAAAGAAAAAGTCAGATGTATATAAACATGCGCACGCACACCTCCAAGCAATATACGCTTTTTAAATCGCACACTCCCTGGGATTGTACGCACGTGGATTTGCCGCATATTCCGCCCTCTACACGCCCCTGTTCAACCATACATGGTCAATGCAAATCACCTCATGCATATTTAAGCATCCGATGTAAACCTGAAAAACTCATGGCAACCGAGGGGAAAAGTAAGAAGGTAGATGTGCTTGTGGGTATGGAATATATATGTGGGTATACTCTACATGAAGAAATGCACAAAATAGATTAAGTCCTCCGGTGTGTCAGGGAGATCGCGTGTAGCCAGCTCGTCTTTAATAAAGTCCGACAGACCTTGATAAAATGCATCGAACTCTGCGGTCCTTCCCCATCTGCAAGACATTGCCAGTGTTCTAAACTGGATCGCGTGGACAGAGACCGACCGATTACCCTGGCAGAGCTGTAGCGGTTCGCAGGCTGCCTCACTGCCTGATTTGGAGCGACCACCCCTGTATAGACCAATGGGTATAGAAAATGGAGAGATGGACTGATGGCAGTGAGACTGATCACCCTCAGTAACTCAAGACCATGATCCAGGTCGAACCTGCAGAGCCTTTATTTCAGTCTTAGCTTCTTACTTTCATATTTGCTGTAAGGGTTAGTATTCAGACTAAGCGGAAGCCCTGCTGAATGGTGTACACTTTCCTAAGCCGTATGCATCCTTGTCATATACATACACATTCAGGTTAAAGTATTATGCTACATTAGATTAATGTATACGTGTGCAAAAGCTACACAGATGCACAAATCACATGTAATGATAGTAATGTTACTACCCTGCATCTTGTAAGACAAAGGTCTTAACATCCTTCTGAGAACGTTAACACAATCACACCCTGAAGCAGTTCAGACACCGACAGAAGGTGCACATAAGCTTGTTGCATCATTACTTCTGCAGCAGACTGAGGAGACAGTAGACAGTGTGAAAAGTCCCCCATTGCTGCAGCTTTTATCTGAAAGTTAGCAACGGGATTATACCAGTGCTACGTAACGTGTAAGATTCTTAAAGCAATTAATATAGCGTAAGAAGTAACAAGAGGTCAGGAAGGGTTCGAGTTCTTGCATATTTCATTTGTAGCTCTGTTGTTTTTCTCACATTTTAACATGCTGTTTTTGTAGCTGCTACTTGTGGTCTCAGAAGACGGCAACCGGTTGCACGTTACGTTGCTGAAGGGAAACCGCTGCTTCTGCATCTGAACGCTGACTTCGGCATCCGTAGATGGAACCTGGTGAAGGATAAAATAGTTATTGCTAAGGATTCACACAAAGAAACTACATGGGTTCTTTTGAATAAAATATTAAAGAAGAACAAAGTTTTTAAGAATGATTCTGGAATTTACTCTTTAAATTTTTCTGCTGTAAAAAGAAGGTACTCAATTAAAATACAGCTGAATGTTGAAGGTATGATTTCATTTTGTTCTGTTTCTTCAGCTCTGAATATATCATTTAAAAAACCTTGTGAATTGAGTAAACTAGCTTTGATTTCAGGTTCTGAAATTCTACGCTGTGAGTGTGTGGATTATCACCAGCGGCTTGTGACCTGTGCATCTCTTCCTCAGCTCCAGTGTCGAATGTGACTCTCTCCCAGCTCTGTTTGCCGCACAGAGAGATGAGGGTGTCCTGTTCCTCACAGGGAGACGCCAAGGAATTCAGCTGGACCCTGGGGAACCAGAAACTGGACAGAACTGTATCTTCCCTGATCTATCAGAATAACAGCGTCGTACTGAAGGAGAACGTGCAGGGTAATCTCACGTGTTCAGTTAGGAACCATGTCAGCTACGGCGCCGTCACACGCGAACTCATCCCCTGCCCAGGTAGATCACTGGAGACACGAGTAAATAAAGTAAAAGCCTTTCACTGCAGTTACGATCGTTTGATTAAACTCTGTGCTTCACCCTACAGGACTT